AAGTTTGTTTTGGCCTATGGCAAGACTCTCAAACCCAAGGATGTCATCCAGTTCCAGTACGTGGGTGGCGAAATGTACCAGATCTACGGTGCACAGGTCGTGGAAAACAGACCTGGCGAGCAGGCTGTCCTGGTAGACGTATTGCCTGACGGTGATCGAGTCGAAGTTGAGTGGAAGTACATACTCAAGCTTCATCCGGACGAATCGCAGCGACTGAAGCCGTCCGCAAATGCCAAGCCACTTCCAGAGCATCTTAAGGAGAGCGATGCATCCCTTGACATCACGAACCGCACCGACGGTGTACCTGAGATGGGTGATCCTTTCCACGACCCCAACTCCGAGCACAAGTGGGCTGAATGGTATACTGCTCCTGAGGTTACCCGGAGAGTGGCTAGAGTCGATCTCAGCAAGGAGGACCGGCTTTGGTACTACCTTGGAAAGCCTTCAACCGAGGCTAGGCCACAGTACACTGAGGACCCTGCAAAGCCCAGGAACAACCCCAAGAGCAACTTCCTCGAAACCGTCAAGCCTCCTCCCCCGCCAGTACCAACCTTCCATCGTACTTCGTACCCAGCCTCTTATCCAATCAAACCGGCACCCATCGCAGTACCTCCGCGCACACCGATGCAATATCAAACACCAGATGGTCGGCCGTACAATTACAAGCCGAAGGAGTTGACAATGTCGTCCTATAGGTCGCCGGTTTACAACCCTGATACTCGCAAGAATCCCAATTCGCCCGTAGCACATCAACCCAATGTCAGCTATGACCATCGCTTACCCACAGGACAACAAGGGCAGCAACCATACCAAGGCTATCACACGCATCGGTCACCGCACCCTTCGCAGCAGCAACAGCAGTATCAGCCATATGTGCCGCCACAGAGCTACTCCAATGCGTCCTGGAAAACACAGTCGGCGCCTCTGCTCAATGGGATTGACAAGTATGCGCAACCGACACACAATAGCGCTCTACCGCCATACCCATACTCTCAGAGTCCTCGTCAGTTGCCACCCTCACCATACTCACCAGGCGCGGGACAGATTGCTGCTTCACCTTATGGCCCACCAAGCCATCAAAGCCAGGCATCACCACACGGTCGTGCGTCGATCTCAAACATGCTGAGCAACCCTACTGGGACTCCTAAACCTCCAATGTACGCCGTCACACCCTCCTCTGAAATCATCTATGCTGCCCAATACCCCACTGAGTACTTATCCTACGTCATGAATTATCCCTACCTCAGAAACTGTTATTTGCGGAGGACAAAAACTTACATATCACCCTATAGTCTGGATGGTGGAATTGCACCGGAATGGATGCCAAAGCAGCCTGCGCCGAGAACCAGTGGTACACCTACTTCCATCGCACCAAGGCCTATCGCGTCACACGGAGCCACGCCTTCTCCCGGATACTACGGACCACCGCCACCAACGGGCCTACCTGCACCAAGGCCATCCGCACAGTTCCAGTCTTCAGATGCTTTCCAACGGGAAATGGCAAGGACGACGCAGACTCCCGAGGCGCCAAAGTGGGAACAGATGCTTAAGCAGCTCGCTACATCGACAGGCCCCACAGGGACGCCATCCATGACTGCGCACTCGCCACAGGCACCTCAACCTCGCTACCCTCCCTCGGGGCCCCGCTCCAGTCTATCGTACGACCTTCCTAGGAGCATGCAAGCTTCGCAAATTCAAACCCCACCAGGACCGCCACCACGCGAGCCACAACGACCAACACCTAGCCCCATCAGTGATGACGGCAAAGGCGGTCTTGTAGCTGTACCAAGGGATCAGAAGCCAGTGCTGCCGCCTCTGCAGCCTACGACGAATGTCCATGGAGCTGAGACATGGCGCTACTCGTCTTAACGGCATGTGAACGGTTTATGGGGCGTTCGGTGGAACTAGTGTATTGTAACGACATGTATGACTAGAGGGTGACTTTCGGCGTTTCCAATAGGGTCATGGCATGGGCTGCCAATTTCCTTTTCAATGCAGCATTGTCGTGCGGCGGGAGTGCAATGACAACTTTTATCTGTTCAGCGGTATTATTCTTGGATCGCGATGTGTGCAAAAATGATGTTTAGTAAACGCTGTGCATAGGCGCGTTACACCCTTCACACCTTGACAGATGAACACCGGGTCTCCGGTAGGAAGCGAGCCTTGGCCAGCTGTACCGTCGCTTTAGCCGTTGCTTGTTTTCGGTTGCCGGCTGCTAAAGTTTCTTGGCCCGAAATGAAGGCCCGTGTGGCATGGAAGCGACATTGAAACGCATAGAGAGCAGAGACCCACCCGGACAACATAAAACACCAGTGGAGTTTCTCCGGGCGGCATTGATTGAGGCGCAGAAACAGGTACTGACGTTCAGGCACGAATGGAGGCAGAAACATGTCGTGAAGTCTGTTACGATGCAGTGTAATTTGCCGAGGGTGTGTGGGAGGGTTCGGTGGAGTGTTCCAGTCTCAGTACATGGTCTCGATCGAAAGAGCAAATACAGAGTGCACACCGTAGTTCGTATGAATCAAGACGTTGTACCAAGCGCCTGGAACTGTCATGCGTACAGTAGTGGAGGCGCGCTGTCGTTGACCCACTTTCAGGGGGGCATGGTATGAAACGATGAAAGTCGGAAGCGACCATACGGAGATAAGGGCGCTGAGGCTACGATCGGACCTACGGGTGTATACCTAGGTTTGCTGCAGATTAATGAATGTGAGGAGTAGAGCGCGGTCTGCCGGTTTACCGTTGTCGGTGTTTATGCCGCTGGGTGGTGGGAGATTTGGTGACGCGTAGATGTCGTTTCTGAGGCGCTGGGTCTATGTAAGCGAGTCGAGATGGTTCTAGTGTGCAGCGGGCGGGAAGAGTCGTTGATTCATTGCGCCCAAGCTTCTTTGCACCATCACCAAGTACACAGCATCTGGTCTCATGACTAAAGAACGAAGACTTATCGTAAGAGCATAATGTGCGTACGGCAATTCGGCCGCAGACATGTACAGCCACTGCATCCAAACACCGGTGCAATGACGTGCTAGCTGTATCTGGCGTCTATTCAATGTTCAACCCCTCTTGCGTTTCGCTTTGACATGTTCCTTGCGTCGATCAGGAACACCTGGCCGAGGACTGCTCAGCATACTCTGTTTACCGCCAGGATCAGAAGCCACACCATGAAACAAGCACCGCCATGACAAGTGACAAGCCCACCTTGCGAACATCGAGCACCCCAGCTCCACAGCCCTGAAGCATTGTACGAACGGAAACGGTTCCCTTTCTGTCATCCACTCCTTTCATTTGACACATGCACAGCGATGCGCCATTTCCGACATGGCAGTATCTGAGTATAAGAGTACCTCTCGCCCAGCATGTAGAGATTCCTCACCACCACAGTCATTCAGTCAGTCGACATTCGCTCTCTTCACCTTCGTTCATTTTTCCACGCTTGAAGCGCCTCACATTCTTTACTATCTTCGTTGATCTCGAAGTAACTTTTTGAACACCAACCCTTTCGTCCAAACCAGACTTTCCAACACCCAACACTACAATGCCTTCCAAGATTCAAGCCGCTGCCATCCTTGGCGCCTTTGCTGCCTCCGTCAGCGCTCACGGTCACCTTTCTGCCATCAAGGTTGACGGCAAGGACTTCACTGCCTACGACCCGTCTTTCCAGTACCAGACCCCCTCCCCCGAGGTCATTGAGTGGTCCTGCCCCGAGTGTCTCGACAACGGTTTCGTCGACCCTTCCATGTACGACGATGCCACCAAGATTGCCTGCCACAAGGACGCCACTGCTGGCGCAAAGGTTGCTACTGTCGCCGCTGGTGGCAAGCTCGACATCTCGTGGACCACCTGGCCCGAGTCCCACGTCGGCCCCGTCATCGACTACCTCGCCAAGGTCGACGATGCCACCAAGGCCAAGTCTACCGACCTTGAGTTCTTCAAGATCGACGCTGCTGGCTTCGAGGATGGCAAGTGGGCTTCTGACAAGCTCATCGCCAACAACAACACCTGGACCGTGACCGTCCCCGACAGCATTGCCCCTGGTCAATACGTCCTCCGTCACGAGATCATTGCTCTCCACTCCGCTGGCCAGGAGAACGGTGCCCAGAACTACCCCAAGTGCATCAACATCGAGGTCACCGGTTCCGGTACCGCTACCCCCAAGGGTACTCCGGCTAACAAGCTCTACACTGCCACCGACCCTGGCATCAAGGTCAGCGTCTACGGCGGTGACATGTCCAGCTACGAGATGCCTGGTCCCGCTCTGTTCGACGGTGCCAGCTCCGGTTCTGGCAACGCTTCCGCGCCCAAGCCTTCTGCCTCTGCTCCTGCCTCGTCTGCTCCTGCTGCCTCTGCCTCATCTGCCCCTGCTGCCACCAGCTCAGCCGCTGTTGCCGCTGTCTCTACTCCCGCTGCCTCTGCTTCCGCCCCTGCTCAGACCGGCAGCGCCAGCCTCGACAAGGAGTTCACCCTCGACACCTTCATCTCCTGGCTCGAGGAGAAGGCTGGCTCTTCCAGCCAGAAGGTTCGCCGCCACCCCCGCGCTTTCCGCGTCTAAGTTCATGGTGCGATGACGATAGGAGGAAATGTGATGGAAAAATCCTGGAGGATGGATCATGGAAGATAACACTTTGGTGTTCTTCACTTCTTGTACCTACTTGCTTTGAGTCGCTTTGGCTCATTGCTTCTTTGACTGAATGATATGTGTTGCACACTCGACTACTGTTCTCTTCGTGTACAAATGCTCCAGGTGCCTGTGATTCCAAGTGTGTTGGTAAAGACTGACGATCTTGTTCCTGTTTCTGATGTTAGTTGACCAAGCATTCTCAATGCTAGCAGACTACCACAAGTGTGCTAATGGTAGGCGAGCAACTGGGGCTTAGTGTACCTGACATGCGCATCGGCGTTACCCCGCCTAAAAGCATCGTTTTGCTCAACGCCGCGCCCTTGCCGGATTTTGCCATGAAACTTGAATTTTGAAAGACTTCAACTCTTCATCAACCACATCATCCGATATAGTCCATCGGCTAGGATATCTCGCTTTCAACGCCTCTAGAGAGCACCGAGAAGAGCCGGGTTCGATTCCCGGTATCGGAAGCCCTACGTCCTTCTTTTTACTGCTACGCGCAGTGCGAAAAGAATGCGTTAGGACGCATGAAGCTTTTTAGCATTTTATCTTTTCTGGCAAACTTCACTCGTGCCTGTCTTTAATATTTTGGGCATCTACTCGCGCTGCACAGAAAGGTGCATACACTAGGCTTGTTACTGCATACTCTGTTATTGTTTTTCTGCATTCGTTGATGTGGTACCTGCTCTCTTGTTTGGCTCTTCTTTGCTGCGAAGCGCGAAGCATGGCCTCCACCCTAACACAGATTGTACGTGCTTCTGAGGCTCAGTACAAGCAGGGATGACAATATTCCAGCACTGGAGTGGAGTCGGATCTAGAGCGTAGTTTCTGTAATCGCAATTAGATACTCCTGTGATATCTGGGAAGTCTTCTCGGATCGTCCGCCCCCTTTTTGCACTATGTCGCGCGATAGCCTACCGCTTCGTGGGCTCTATCCTAGCGGAGCTATCTGCAGTACGACAACAAGAAGACAGGGTTTCATGTCACATTAGATGCCTACAAAGATGAATGCCTTGACGGATCATATTACATAGTCTAGGTTGAGGTATACATTGACTTTTATGCTGAGAGCCTACAAATGTGTAGCACTGCGAACACCTCCAGGGTGACTTTATTTCTGTCATACTCATCAGAGGCGCGCATACATATATCTGCTAAATCTTGCGACTCAACATGTCTTTCAGTTCTTCTCCTGGTTCTTCTCGTCCTCCGCTTTCTTCTGATTCTCAGCATGCTGCAAGTCAAACGCCTTGACCTTGTCCTTCTGGGCCTGAGTCCACTTGGCCTGGTGCTCCCGCTGTCGCTTCTTGGAAGCGATAGCCTTAGGATCCCCTGCTGCGATATTCTGATCGCGGAGGGCTCTCGACCGGCGCCCTGACTCTAGGGACTTGCTCGGTGCCTTCTTCGTAGTCGACTTCTTGTTCTTGTCGACCGCATCGTTGGATGGTGTCTTCTCATCCATGGCATCGACCTTCGCCTTCTGTGCGGCGTGCCAATCACGACTTGTCTGGCCTTTCTTCTCTAGCCTCTCTTTGGCCATGTTGTCACCAGTGGCGAGCTTCGTCTGGAACACCTTGTAGATCTGGCGATCGTAGCCTTCCTTCGACAGGCCGGCCTTGACGCCAGTCACTTTGGTCCTCTTCCTTGGAGGTCCCTCTTCCTCGTCGTCGTCGTCTTCGATCAGCGCGGTCTTGTCCCACATACGCTCCATCGCCTTTTCAAACGTAGCTGCCCTTGGCCTATACTGCGCAACCATCTCGGCGCTCTGAAAGAATTTCCGACAGTCCTCACCGGCGACGGTGTGCACCTTGTATACGAGGGCAATCTTTGAGATCTCTGCAACGGTAAATGACCGACCTTGGAGCCAGTCGCGGAGGCACTCGAAGCCAGATGGAGTTCGTGGCCACGTCAGGGCTGTCCTCAGCTCTGTCTCGTCGCCATCGCCATCGAGGAAGTCGGCAAACACGCGCAGCGGAACGAGCTGTCCAGTCGAGTGTTGGTGCCAGGTCTGCGTGGTGGACAGGAAGGCGGGCAGAGAGACCGGCCGCCTGAAGTAGACCATTGTCAGATCTACAAGGCGCTCTCGGAGGGCTTGCCGATGTTGGGCCTTCGTGGTAATGTGCGCTCGATACCTCTTGAAACACTCCGGGTGGTTGATGTAGAGAACGATGCGGCTTAGCTTCCCGTGAATGTCGTGTTCTAGCCATGCGATCCGTACTATGCCGTGTCCAAGTTTGACCTCAGTCGCGTTGATGTGGTTTAGCTTGAGGTACTGGTCATACAACGCCTGTGGAAAGCTACCCGACAGGAGCACGACTCTCGCCGTAGACAACGATATGAGTTCTTTTGTCTGCGAGTATCCATTGGCCTTCCGTGGAGTGCATGAGCGTGTTGGGCCTGTGTGATGATATGTGCGCGACATCTCTCCATTAGCTCTGGATGTGGGATCATAGCATCTCATGCAAGAAAAAATTTGAACAGGCCTGGAGACTACATCAAGATTAGAATATGCAAAGTGTGTGACCCAAAGTCGATGTAGGCTCCAAGCTGTTCAGTGTTTTTTTCAAGATTGACGTAGTAGCGAAAATGCGATGCGACATAGTTCGCCGTTTGCGTTATTCGCCAGCCATGCCATGCGACCTAACACGGCTAAACATGGTTTGCTGCGCGCTGGTCTAACCAGAAGTGCGGATCTTCTATGTACGGAGCTTGCTCAACGGCATCCGGAAACCAGCGATCCATAGCAGGGTCGGTCTTCGGCCACGTACTTAGAACGTTCTCGCAGTCATGCTCGTGGATACGGAATGGCGCGACATGATGGCTACGAGCGTCAACCGAGAAGCGGGCGATCTCTGGTCTGTTCGGGAAGAGGCGCGGAAGAATCGTCTCAATATCGTCGAGTACGTCCTGCTTGGTTGCTGCAGAAGGACGAAGTCAGTATACATATCTCATGCACTTCGCGCAGCCAGAACTTACCGTCTACGTTGAAGAGCCCCCTCTCTGAAATCTTCACGTCGGTCTTTTCCAGTCTCTTGCGCTCTTGCTCGTTGCGTTTCCCTGCGAATGCCATTGTGATGGCGAGGGGAATTCTGATGGCGGCGGGGTGTCAGATCTGAAATCCCAGTGTGCGAGAGGCGAAGCTTACCGCGTTCGGCTTATTGTTTACTTCGCTTCGATGAAGAGGAAGGATCGGCCCACCAACACCACCCCGCGCGTCAGACCATACCAGTGTCCGGAAGGCCGTAAGATGCACATGGAACAGATCGTGTACCCGGACCAGAGCGAGTGTAGCATAGAAGTGGTTGTAGGTCGTCAACGCCATGAGCAGCGTGTCCTAGTACGGCATGGCCATCTACTCCAACCTCCTCAAATCGTCCTTCTGCAGAGCCGCCACAATGTCCGCCTTCTTCTTGGGAATAGGCCGAGGAAGCCCACGTGAGCGATACTCATCACGAACCATGTCTCGGGACTGGCCTGCGTATGCATCTTCTGTCTCTTCATGGCCGCGGCCTTCTTCCTCCAGCTCTGTGCGTCGGCCATCTTCCTCAACCTCTGCTGGTCGGCCATCTTCCTCAGCCTCTGCGCGTGGATCTTCTTCCTCTGTCTCCTTCTCTACCTCCTTCTCTTGTTCTTCGAAGTAGCATAGGCGGTACTCCTCGTACCATTGCGTGTGCGAAGAAAGCATGAAGCCGACAAGACCATGCTACTCAGTGTTAGTGCGTGTCTTGTACAGACAGCGGATACAACATACCTCCAGATTCTCGCGCAACACGTCGCCCAGGACAGCCATGGTCTTGTCACGGACCTCCCGTCGACTGGATTGGTAGTCGCATAGGAGCCAGCCACTGCTTGGGGTGTCGTGCTGGATCTGAACAGCTTTGCATCGAGGAAGGGTCGTCAATAGCGCGAGCGCAGACTTGAACTCTTTCGTACCCGACATTGCTGAGAAGGTATCGCCATCGGCTGCGGCTGCGGCGCCTTGATGCAGCTGGTAGAAGAATGCGGTTCTCGGGACCTTGAGGCGTAGTGTGGTGATGTGATCGCTCCACCGCTCAAACTTTGCTAGTGACACTGCGCGCGCAGGAAAGTCGGCGTCAAGCTACGGAAACGGAGTCAGCATGTGCTTGTGTCTCCCTCATCTGGGACTCGCCTGGAGGAAAGTGGTGGTCGGATCGACAATGTTGTAGAAGCTGTCTTTGCATCTGCGAACGAGCTCCTTGTTGCACGTCTGCCGGAGTGAGCGAATGTCACAGCACGCAAGGTGGCGTAGAATCATGCTAAATAGCTTGACTGGAACTCCCGCCAGACTTGCACGAGAAGCCGTCTGTGCTTTCTTCTGAGGTAGCTGGCGACGATCGCGGCGGGGGAGGTTTCGCGAGACCATCATGTCTAATGTACACACGCGAGCCTGCAGCCGGGCAGTGATGCTGCTGACGCTGTGCTTGTTGATATGCGTAAACATTTCAATGACCACCTTGCGCGCCCCGCCGATGAGGCGTTGTAGTAGGGAGTCCAGGGTGCTTGCGCTGAGGGCAAAGAGCGTGGGAACAATCTCGTCGACGCGACAGGAGTTGGCGACACTGAAGCCTGAGAGACCGCGCAGGATCTCAACGAGCCAGCTGCAAGATTCTATGTAAATGGAGGCCGCAACGAGTAAGAGGCGCTTGTTGTTGCCGTTCACGGTCGTAAGGAGGGTCGCGATCTGCTGGACACGATCACTGAGAGATGTGATGGAGTTCGCGCGTAGACTGTCAACATGGCTATAGCCCCGTCTCACGTATTGCGCCAGCTTGATTGGAAACTGCATACAAGCCATCCGTCGTATACAGCATGACTATACAGGTTCGCTATAGCGTCGAATTCTCTCTTCCACGTCTACTTCCTCTCCCCGCAACGGTGGGCTCATAAGGAAGGCAGGTGTGACCGGTGTTGGTAGCGCCGTCAAGTATATGTTGGTCATCTTGGTTCCAACGAACGTAGTCCTCGCGGTGCTCGGAGTGACCGGCTCAAAGCCCTTCCACAACTTGGCTTGCCTGTACTGCTTTATTGGTGGTGTGCGGCGAAGTCTCCATGCGCGGTGTAGTAAGAGTACTGTAATGAAGACAAGTATGGTACAGATTATACCAATACCGACGCCAATTCCGATGGCAGCTGGTGTAGAGAGCGAGCGGTCGTTTTCCGGAACGTACATCGCCGAAGATGTTGAGGAAACTCGAGCCTTGCCAAGGCTTAGTGAAGGTGTGTAGACGGCTGGACTCGTAAGGACTGCTCGGATAGTCATGACTGCGGTGATTGTACTCGGTCTGGAAGTCGCAGTAAAGGTACGCAGGATGAAGTCATGGAAAGGGTTACCTGATAGCCTCACCCAGCGTTTGCAAACAATAAGCGGTTACGGTTCTCTCACGTCTCCATCCGGAAGGCTGAGCACTAAATTCTTGTCATATGCAACTAAGCGCCTCCTAGTGGATATTAGATGATCACAGCCTTCGTAGACCACATGTGGACGTCGAATGTGACTTGGTAGAAACCACATGAGCCTTTTATCCTGAAGATGATATACAGCAAACGTAGTCAAGGGTACGCGCATACGAACTATCGCACTTGCTCAGAGCTCAGCAATAGTTCCAGAAGATGTCACTTCGGTCCATCAATGTAGCTGCACACATCCTAAGAAAACCGATGGGGTCGAAAGTGCTCTAGAGATGCAATCAAGAGGCGTCGTGCAGGCGTCCTAATGCAGTAACGATTAGACGAAAAGGGTAGGGACGAGCGAGAAGAGAACCCATCAAAGACGAGATGTGAGCCTGCTCTGTTCCCAAGGGCGCTTGAGGCGAAATGCGCAATCCCCATTCGATGTCATTGTGATGCGCTGTCACACGTGCTGTTGGTGTCCAGCCTCAGCGGCTATTAGGACGCCATCTGCACTGTCAGGCACTCCAGGCCTAGAGAAACAGCAATGTAGCAATTCTGTAGCTGAACGTCTTGACGGGCAGATCAGAGTGATCGAGCAAAGACGGAAATCGACGTAGTATGATGCGCGTGGTGTGGTGGTGTGATCACATAGGTGAAGTCCAGCCGGCAGCCGAAAATATTGCTCGCGTGGTAAAGCCGTCGAATAGGAACGCCATGCGCTAAGCCGAAAGACTCATAGCCCTCCCATTCGCCGGCACCTGGGCAGCATGTCTACATTGATGATGAGATGACACCTGTAGGTCGGCCTAGCATTCTCACGAATACTGCGGCAGCTGTCAGCTTAGCGGCTGCAACATTTCAGATCAACCGGGCCTGTAGGAATAAAGCAAGTGTATGTGCATTGACATGTGCCCCGTATAACAGTAGAGCATCTCCATCCAAGAGAGCTCCACGTGTTCCATGAATGCACAATCTCGTGGCATGCAACCTGCTAAGGCATTTCTGATTTAAAGAAGCAAGCCTCGTGGGGGCCAAGAAAATGCTTTTGGTCACGATGCAAAGGGCGGCAGAGATGTCACCATATGATGGGAAATTGCAGAGTGAGTCGACTCGGGACATGACTGAGACTTGCATCACGATGAGGAACAAGAGTGACATCAAGAACGCGCGTCGGGAATAGGAGAGGACGATCAGAGATCAAGATGTTGGTGCAGAATGCCATGGCACGGGAGAGAATCCTGTGGGCTAGAATCACGGCAAAATCGGGCTTGGCGGCATCCGCGACAGGGGACCCGAGTAAGGCTGCCAGGTACACCACCAATCTTGGTCAACGTCGCCAGTTAACGTCTGTCGAGCCACAATTCACCCAAGATTGCTCTCCGTCATGGTTTCGAGCTCGGTCTTTTTATTGACGTTCGCCCGGTTTCGGTGGAGCGGTTTGCGTCTCAGAAACTGCTTGCCTCGGCGTCCACGACGAAGCCGGGAATGACGACATGCACGTCTCATCATCTTCTTGGTACACAGAACATGCACCGAACTCCGGGCCCCCAGACAACGCGTGGCTGGTTGCCTTGACAGCAGGTGGACCCGCGTATACACTTACCTTGGTGCAATTGCCGTGAGAGGGGAGTTGGCAGCAGCGTCGCGGTACGCAGATGTCGAGCTAGAGGAAGCGTGGTGCTGGTTGCTACAGCGGTCGCTGGTCGCACGCCGGTGAGGACCTGCGTTTCAGGGTCATCAAGCTCGACGCCGCACTCGCGTCGCTGTAGCAGTAAGAAAGCTTGGCCAGACGACAAGTGCTGACTTGTTTCAGAGTGAATTGAGCACTGTAACGCTGGAAATAGCACCTGGCACGCCTTGCCATAGCCCGAATCGTCCCATGGGCAGCTGCAGAGACATGCATGGCTCCGCTGTCGATGAGACGGGGCGTCGCAGGCTGTGGCTTGGATGCAACGCCTCTCGACCCAGTCAATCTCGTTACACGGCGGACAAATGTTCGTCAACAGACGTCATAGGCCCAAACAACCAGAGGCGGCCCCGGATCAAGCTTCACTCGAAAAAGCAGGAACGGCTGCCGATGACTGGGATGGGCTGTGATGGCTTGCCGCATCTGGGCAAGGACAAGGACAGTGCGCTTCCATGTGGCGTCACTTGCCTCACTGTCCAGTTAATTACGTGCATTACGTGGCTAAAAAATTGTGGAGGAGGCGCAAGCGAGCAAGGGCGGTGGCCGCTGTGTTTGTTGCTGGCCGCTGGGGCTATGGCGACATGCAAGCGCGCTAGTTCTTATGCACTCACCTGGTATAAGAGCTCTTCTCTCGCCCTGCCTTCTACTCTCCATCTACAGCTCAAACAATCTCCACATCAAACCAACTACACTCAACTCTTTACCCACACACCCAACCAACTCACCCACCCAAACCATCAACATGCGTTTCTCCACCATTGCCACCGCTGTCATCGCCGCCGGCGTTGCCAACGCCCAGGTCGACTCCATCATCTCCCAGATCACCTCTGCCGTAGGCGGTGTCCCTTCTGACATCGCCTCCGCCGCCTCATCCATCGGCTCTGAGATCACTTCCGCCGCTGCCTCCATCACCAGCGCGGGTGGCTCTGCCGCTGCCTCCGGCGCTTCTTCCATCCAGAGCGCTGCCGACTCTGCCATCAGCAGCATCGCCTCCGACGCCTCAAGCCTTACTGGCTCTGCCGCCAGCGCGGCCTCCTCTGCCACCCAGTCGCTCGGATCTGCTGCCAGCTCTGCTGCCAGCGCTGCTGAGAGCGCCACCGGTACCGGTGCCGCCGACTCCAACAACGTCCCCGCCATGGGCGCTGTTGCTGGTGGTCTCCTTGCTCTTGCCGGTCTCTTGTAAGCGGGTCGACACTCAACCGCTTCCTTCCAACATCGTCATAAAACGTCTCCTTTGACAGTTTCTTCGATCGGTTAGCGACATCAGCCATGAGCTGACATCGCTTCGTCTCTCGTGAGACAGGTGTGGGACCAGAATGATTCACAGCGACACTTGGGATTTACCAATCGGCATACTTATAATAAGTCATTTCAATGAATCATTCACAATACCCCAAAACTACTTTCTTGCTGCGCTGCCTCTTTCATGTTCTGCCACTCATCGCCGTGACGTTTCTTCCATTCATCGTCATGGCATACCGGCTGTAGATTTCCTGACAGCGTCTGTTTCTGTGGCTGCTGATTCGATGGTGTTCTATTGTTAGAGTCCAGCATCGCAGCTGAGTTGCATGATGTGAGGTTCTCGCTTATGACGTAAAGCCGCGCGTCCAATTCGGTGGCGTTTTCCGAAACCCAATAACGCGGCTGCGGTAAGCGGCGTCCCGTATGCACTCCGCATTCTCGCATGCGCATTCTTTATTCATCCCCTTCCAGATCACCTCCTCACCGCTGATCAGACAGGAGATGCGACGAATTGGTCGTACACAATCCTTCACCGCGCGCATTAGAAGGCTGACAGCATGATCGAGATGCACCGGCTCATTCGAGAAATTAACAGGTGGGAAATGTACCTGCAACGCGCCGTTCAACTGACACAGTGGCTGGCCGCCTGGCTTGCGGCACAGCCACGAAATGATCCCCGACATGCATTTGGCCGGGTGATCTGCATCGCGACACATGCCTCCCGTTATGTTTTTCGGCGCGCCCCCGGGGACACCTGGTTGATCTTAGCAACGAGAACAAACACGGAGAAAGTTCCTGGAGATGCGGAACGCACACCACTTCGCTCCAAGGGCGATGCAATGACGACTGGTTGCTCGATTGAATTTGGCTCAAACAAGAAAGCTGGAGGCTGACGATCTGCGGAATTGCTTTTCCTTGGACCTTTGCCGCATCGAGTACTACGTCTTTTGCAGGCTGCAGCACTAGCTGCTTCGCGCCTTGGAGATACACGCTGCATCATATTCCACAAGACGTTAGTGCACAAGACGTCGCATTGCGCAAGGCTGCGGTGTACTCAGAGGTGCAACTACGAAGCAACGAGCGTCTTCGTAATGTACTTGCACAATGGGTGTACTGGGTCTAAAGTACGGTATGTTGAGGAACGCGATTCACGACATTATTCACGGACGTCACTATCCAAGTACACAACACTACAACTACTTCATCCGAAATTACGACGAAGTTTCTCAGTCTCGTCATTTCATTAGCAGGGCAAGGAAATTAAAGCGTTCCACTCGGTATTGTCTTCTTTATACCGCCCTCACTAACATTGCATACACATCACCAACCTGTCACGGAGTCCGTACCCACAGCGACCATGTCAACCCTACCCGGCTTCACCTGGCCCCGGAACGCCAAGACCAGGCGTAGCTCACCGTCCTCGCCAATCCTCATTTCCGACCACCGTCCCCTTATTATCGGTCTGGCTGTCGCTGGTGCAGCGACGAGTAT